TATTTTTCTTTAGGATTTACAGGGTTTATAGTGTATCTTATGAGAATTCTAAATATGTGTTCAGTATTTTAATGCGTGCATATATTGCAAAGATATCACCGAACCAAACTGTGTCCCACTGTCGGGGGTTTGAATCCCGCTGGAGGCGTTTCAAAAATTTTTTTCTTTGTTTCTGTCTTTTTCAGTTGCAAATGACTTTTGTCTCTTTAATAATACATAAGGAATATTTTGCCGATTTTTAAAAGCTATTTTTTGAGATATTTTGAGGAATACGTATAAATATCATTATGTATGTTGAGAGACTGCTGTGAATGAACGTTTACAAAAATATACATTCTGAAATCTATTTCATGGGATGACGCAGCATAAAACTCTAATGAAAAGTCGGTCGGAAGACCGCTTGTTGCTCTAGCAACAAGAACGCATCTAGTTATGTCGCCCCGAACGAAGTCGGGAACGACATATTGATATTGTACGCATGTTTTTTTTATCCAGGCTGTTTCTCGGAGATGGCTGGGACAATCTTCCTGAAACTTTCCTCAAAGGACGATCACTGGTTGTAGTTGTGCAGTGAGGTCGTTCAGTTCCAATATGTCTACCGTTGCCATGGAAACCTGTAAAAAGCGACGAATTTTGTCCGCGAGTGTTCTCTCTGGTCCCTTAAACGTTCGTCATGAAACTTTTCTTATTTTAATGATTAGTATCTGTAGTTGTGCGATTCGCATTTAAAATTTTCAAATAATCGATTTTTGCCATGGAAACCAGGGGAAAGTTAAAATTCTTTAATATCGATTTTCTCAATAACTACGCAAGTAATCGTTTTGAAACTTTCAATGTTTATTCCTTGCAATGTGTCAAAGTGATTTCTACTTTTAAAATAATTGTAATGAGTCGCTCACAGTTGCCATAGAAACGAAACAGAAAAAAAGGTTAAGATGTACACATGTGTTCTCCAAGGTCTAGGTCAAAGGGTCAAAGTTCTTCATATCCAATAAAAGTTCTTTTCACAAGGATTACATATTTGAAATACGAAAGCCCTAGCCCTTACCGTTCAAACGTTATGGCTAAGGTACTATGTTCAAGACGACCCCCCCCCCCCCGCCTTTTGAAGCGCACAGCCAGGTAGAATACACAGATATAACATATACAACTTGCAAGTAACGTTTTAAAAGTTTCATTCATAAAATTCAGTTCCCGTCATGTGATATTTTTCCATCATTCATTCTCCTTCTGTTTTGTCTCTTGAAATTATAATTATTTTATTTTATCTATATATAAAAAAAATAACGATTGTCAGCTGCATTTATTATCATTTCGCGTTTTCTTGTATATCTATTACTTGTATATTATTCATTTCATTAGATGGTGCAAGTATAAATTAGAAACTTGGTACGTCATTTCCATAGTTTTTATTCATTCATAAATCCTTGGATCCGCTCCTTCAGGTGCGCTAAGCCTTGATCACCACTTTATACAAAACATTCATCTCGCCGAAAATGTTCATGATTCCGCTAAACTGAGAAAGTTTACAAATGATTTATCATGTCATAACAATCATCAGCTCTGTGCATTGCAGAAATGCTCGAATTGAAGGTGGCATGTCAGATTCGTTTTCCGGCAGAACCCCTAAAATTGAAAGTGAAAGTAGGGAAATTTGAGTTTTCGCTGGCGTTATAATACACAAAATAATTCGGCTGATCTTCTTAATAAATTACACTTGCCAAGCTTTTTTGGTAGGAAAGATATTGCCAATTAACAAGTATGAGGCTCAGTTCAGTACATCTGCCCAATTTCTTTTATGCAAGTCTGCAAATTTAGGAACTTGTAATTTTTTCCTGCACTACTTTCTTCTCCTACCGATTCTAAAAATAATTAGTGGGATGTACCCAATTAAGGTCTTTCGCTTCCAACGGGAAGGACTGATAGGACTCGATGGTTGTCCAGCTTAGCTAATGGATCATTGTTTTAGTGATGATAAAAATGAAAATCTTGTCCAGTACGGGGCGACATATGCTATTGCTTGCAATAGCAGACTTTCTAGTTAAGGTCTTCCGACTTCCTTCGGAAGACCTTATTGTTTTTCTTCTGTTTTCTATTATTATTAAGGTCTTCCGACTTCCTTCGGAAGACCTTATTGTTTTCCTCCTGTTTTTTACGGAAGACCTTCTAGTGATTCTACTGTTTCTTCTTCTTCTTATTATTATTATTTTTTCCCCAAAATTTTGTGCAGGCGATTTCTCGAAAACTATTCGGTGGTTTTCAATGAAACTTTCAGAAATCATGCGTCATTATATGAACTTTGTTCATCAGAAGGAAAATTTGGAATACTCACCTTTGGTTCCAAGTTATTGTCAGTTTTCTGATTTTAAAATGGATTTTTGTCCCCCCTTTTTTACGAAAATGGTCTAAGATATTAACTGGAGACTTGTTAGAGATGAAAGATGATGACTTTTAGATATGTGAAATCACCTTTTCGTGTGTCGTCAGTACTTCCGGTGGCTAGCGGAAGCGAATTGAAATATTCCGTATTTTCTAACTTTTTTGTTTTTCAATATTTTTCATTTATTTTTGGAATGTTAATAGAAACCGTTTTTATAATGCTTACTATATAATTTGTTTGAACATTGATAAATCCAAACTCTAGATATTAACATTCAAAAATCTGAAGCGGGTCCAATATGGCGGCTGTCTATGTCAACTCCGACATTTCGCAATAGGGGTTTTCAGAGGCAGCCAAGCGTTTGCTTGAACGAAAGTAAATAAGGATAAATGAAATGTTAAAGAATACGGGGATTGTCACGATGTAGTTACGTTGCAATTCTGTGTTAAACTAAGTTTAAATCCATGGTCGTCTCAAACGTCTTCTATAATTGGTTTCGGCTGGTTCTCAAAGTAAAAAAAGAAAAGACTACATGTGCAAATGAAAAACATACCTACTATCATTTGTTTTGCGGAAAAACAGATCTTAAATCATAGTTACAAATAATAGTTTTAAGAAACAATATCGAGGTATATATAGTAAGTATTAAGCGTATCCACTGTTTTGCTCATGGACACTTGAGTCTTATTAAACTAATAGGAAAGACAAACATAAGAAAAAGATTTTTTTTAAGAATTGGGTTTATATTAATATTCTTGTCTCAAAGATATGATTTAAGTTATTGAACATAAATGGTATCTGATGCCTTTACCGTCTTAGGGCGACACATGTTTTTCGGCGAAACATTTCAACCTTTTCATGAAGCTAACTAATCGAGATAGTTCAGTATGGGGATGAACAGGAAATTTAAAAAAGTAAAATATTATAGCAGTTTCGCTGATTTAGTGTTACTTATCTATTTACGTCATGGAATTTGTAAATGTGTTACAAACAATTTCTTTACCTTGAAATTTTAGCTATAAGAACGTTCTTTTTTATTTCCATTGAAGCTATCACACCTATTTAATGGGACGTTCCAAAGAAAAGGCGCGAAGATTCACTCGTGGCGTTTGGCGCTAAATTTTGAATAGTAACCTGCCTTTCATTATTCTAAGACAGATGTACTGTTTCAGAAGTATATACAAGTAGATTTAGAAGTTTGGTCCCAATAGCGTAATAGTAAGCGCTTTGGATTTAATACAGTCTCAACTAAATTTTGATTTGTCTCAACTATTTTTTTATGCAAATATCACTGTTTAAAGCTTTGTTTATAAATGACTCGTGCATCACCTTACAAAAACCTATGCTGAAGCACACATTTGAATTGACAAAATTTTGCTTTTCAAATTTGAGCAAAATAAAGTTAAATTGGTAAAAGTAAAATACTGAAATTCCAGATGGAGATGTTTTCATTAGAATTATTTTTCCATTTTACATCTCCTTACCTGCATTGTTGCAATGCTACTGAATTTGTGCAACTTTATCCGAATGCAGATAATTTACATTTCCCAATTCCCCAATGCAGGATTACCATTACTATGCAGTATGAATGCAGGCTCTGTCAGGTATTGTGCATTATAATGTCTATCAATGTCGCGTCAGTCAGTGCAGGCATTGGCCGACTGCACAGTCAGTCAATGCAGGCATTGGCCGACCTTACATCAGTCATTCAATGCAGGCATTGGCCGACTGCACAGTCAGTCAATGCAGGCATTGGCCGACTGCACATCAGTCAGTCAATGCAGGCATTGGCCGACTGCACAGTCAGTCAATGCAGGCATTGGCCGACTGCATGCAGGCATTGGCCGACCTTACATCAGTCAGTCAATGCAGGCATTGGCCGACTACACATCAGTCAGTCAATGCAGGCATTGGTCGACTGCAGTGAGTCAATGCAGGCATTGGCCGACTGCACATCAGTCAGTCAATGCAGGCATTGGCCGACTACACATCAGTCAGTCAATGCAGGCATTGGCCGACTGCAAAGTGAGTCAATGCAGGCATTGGCCGACTGCACAGTGAGTCAATGCAGGCATTGGCCAACTGCACATCAGTCAGTCAATGCAGGAATTGGCCGACCTTACATCAGTCAGACAATGTAGGCATTGGCCAACCTTGCATCAGTCAGTCAATGCAGGCATTGGCCGACTGCACAATAGTCAGTCAATGCAGGCATTGGCCGACCTTACATCAGTCAGTCAATGCAGGCATTGGCCGACTGCACATCAGTCAGTCAATGCAGGCATTGGCCGACTGCACAGTCAGTCAATGCATGCAGGCATTGGCCGATTGCACAGTCAGTCAATGCAGGCATTGGCCGACTGCACATCAGTCAGTCAATGCAGGCATTGGCCGACTCCATAATCAGTCAATACACCTCATTCTTCTTCACAGTAGATTTTAAATCCCCAGGCTTGGCTGACTTTGACAAAATGTTCTATAAAAAATGGCTGTTTGATTGTTAATAATTATCATGTCAAGAATATGTATACTCAGTAATGATAAACAATATCATTTTAATTTGAAATTGATAAATATAAAGTAATAGGAGGCCAGATAATTTTAAAACCATACCCGTCGCAATGGACATAAGAAAAGTAAACGTGCATGAGGTGAAAGTTGGTCTTTTTTTTTTACGAAAGTGTTATTCATTTTATAAATTCTAAAGAAGCCAGCATAAAAATGATTTTGGCTGTTAATTGACAACAAAGTACTAAGTGTTATAATTAATTGATTAAAATTCTCACTGCGGGGAATTTGTTGAATTTCCAACATGACTGAAACTGATGTAACAAAACAAATTCACTTGATATATGCACATGTGCACATGTATAATGGTATAAATATTTTCCTAAAGTATATGAACAGTAGCAAATAAAGTGGCACATTTAGTCGTGCATGAGTTATTCATTTAATGTCATATATTATAAAGCGTTTTCTTGATCCTCTATCTTTTTCTTTTCCTTTGGTCTATATTGTAGTTTTTAACCCGTGTATACCTGAAAAAGAAATGCAAGCAGTATTAAAGTAAACTTCTTTTTAAAATAATCGAGAATTACCGTATAATTTTACATTTCCTTTCCAATTTTTTTTTTCAAATTTTTCATTTAATTTAACTGTTTATGATTAGAATAGTTCACAAATAGTTTAAACTTATTTCTTCAAATGAAAAGACTTTGTAAGAATATGATGGCGATATATTCTGTAAGGCAGATTAACTATGCATTCCCAAGCCTTCACAAGACTGAATAATTTATTTTCCGGATAACCAGAGGCATATTACTTTTAAATTCCTGCCACTGGACATATTATCTTTATTCAATTTGTTTAGCACAACTATACTTTTTAAAAAAAAAATCTCCAGACCCCCCCCCTTCTTTTCAGAATTGAATGAATATTCTATCCCCGTCATTCAAACAAATACAAACAAATCAAAAAAAGAAACATAATCTTACCAGAGTTTTCATTTTTTTTGATTTTTTCACTATTCACTTTCATCTGTGTATGACTGGTTTGTAATGCACCAATGGACGAGTTTACATGTCCATCCTGACAAGGAGAAGGTTTTAAAACTGAAATAAATAATTATTATCCTCAATTTTTTTAATTGTGAAGGAAATTACTCTGATTGTAGATATTTATTTTAATTCGTCATAAATTAAAATTTCTTGCGATGCACCATCTTTTGAACGCCTCTGTATTTAAAAATGAAAGTGTAAAAAAAAATCGGCCGTCTAAATGTAAGTTTTATGTTATTTGTAAGTAAACACTTTTATCTATAACTGGTTTATGAACAGACGTACAAACTACTTACCACGAAGAACGATATACAGTCTGTAGGCCTGACGTTACACTCAATCATCGGCCCCTCTGCTGTAGGCTGGTCAGCTATTTCGATGCCTCGATTGGTAAAACGTAACATGTGCACGTGTATAATCATTCAGCAAAAACACACAACTTTTGGTAACCGGAAATACGTCCTTTTTAGCGAGCGCAGCGAGCGTCGCGAAGCGACGCTCGCAAAGCGAGCTCAATAGACTAACGTGTATGAACAGAGGAAATTCGGATTGAAATCTGTACATACGTCAGCCAAATTTCTCTGTGAAACCTTCCCAGAATTCCTGCACTACCCAATGTCCTTTGCGCGAATAAATCAAAAATAGTTAAAAAATTAAAGGAACATTGTTCCTTACCGAAATCTTAACGAAATGATTTTGCCTTACCTTATTCAAAAAAATACCCCCATGCCACAACACCGGCCTTCACCTTGCCCTTCGGAAATGATACAAATGACGTCACCGGAAACTTACGAAATTTGACGATATGCTAATTAAGTCATGTCGGTAGCTTCCGTGAAACTCGGAAAACATGTTGAAGATAGAAAAGTATTTTTAGGGACATATGTACATTATATACTTACTTCTTTTTTCCCGAGATTCTTAAAAAAAATAATTTTATTTGAATTAGAAATAAAAAGTCTAGTGCAACCAATGAAAATGATCTTCGTCTTGTTACGGATCGTCTGCTTTGTTTGTCAACAAACCTTCTGCCTTCCAGGTCATTTAGCTTACCTCGCCTTTGTGTGAATTGCAGCAATAAGTGTAGAGTAGCTGATATAGTATTTTTAAGGGTTTTATGAAAACAGGTGCATATTTTAGAGCAATTACTGACTAGTTTTTATATTTGAGTCACTTATATAACAATAGTCTTGACGTACTATATTTGAGTCATTGAGAGAATATCTGGTAAACTGTCAAAATGAATATTAGTGTAGTTGAAGTTCAGCCTGAACAAATTGGGTCAAGTGTTGGTTGCAATGAAAGCATGCTTTACAATCTACACAATGTCCCAGGGGATGGAAATTGTTTTTTCCATTGCTTGAGTCTTGCTTTTCATAACAACTTTACAAAGACAAGTTTTTACAGACAATCAATTTGTGAGCACATTTTGAAAAACTGGGAATGTTTCAAAAGCCATTTAGAACTTCAGTCACATTCCCCCTTGTCATACTATCAGAATATGATTCTGGGGAATGAATATGCCTCTTCTTGTGAAATTGCAGTCGCAGCTAGCCTCTATCAAAGGCAAATAAATGTTTGGTTGGAATGTTCAGATAAGGACAATGTCATCTCTCACGTCCTCTCAACATTCCAACCAAATACAGTGTCTGAAGGCAGCCCAATTAATTTATTACTCAGACATCAACATTTTCTGTACATGATACCAAAAGAGAAAAAATCGCAACAAAATAAAAATACTTCAATAAATTGCAATTTTTCTCAGCAATCTCATGCCAACATGTCGCATCAAGTTTCTAAGAATGTCAAAAGTAATGAAAATTCAAATTCCAAGCAAAATGCAACTGTTGAGAGAGATGTTCAAGAAAAACCTAATTCTTCTCTCCAAATTCAGTCTGATAAACAGAAGAACAATGTTGACCAGTATGTTTTATTTGAGCATTCTTATGCAAATTGTGAAGAAGTATTCAACAAAAATGTTCACCTGAATGATCTCACAGAGCATTCATATGCAAAACATTGTTCCAACAAACAAAATACAAATACTGACTTTACTATCTTTGAACATTCTTATGCAAATGTCTTCCCAACTCAAGGTATGGACATTGGTGTTCAAGAAAAAGCAGAATATCATACTAATGAAGGAAAAAAATTAGATTATCAGCAGTCTGTATTACCTAACACATTTACAGCATGTACTGAAAATGAAAAGTCAAACAATGCAAATATCACATTTACAGCATGTACTGAAAATGAAAAGTCAAACAATGCAAATATCAGAAAAAGACATGCTGACATTAGGTCAAATTCGTCATTGACACCTCAGCAAAAGAAAAAATCAAAAACTCAAAAATTTGCCCCTGAACATGAAAAAAAACTTCAAGAACTTTGTAGGAAATTTGGTCTAAAATATGAAGAGCCCAGTGAAAATGAAACTTATCAAATTTATACAGCAAGGAGAAAAAAAATTCTGCGAAATATTAAAGCACAATCAGAAAAATATAAATTGAATCCTGACGATATTCCACCCCCTCCCCCTCTTGATGAAAATGCTCATTACAATAAAGCTATGGATTCTATTAGGGCTTTCGAAATTCAACAAATGTCTTATTCTTTTCAATTTTGTTCAGTCTGTCATGAGAGAAGACTTGAAATGAACATGGCCAAAAATGATATTTGTAGGCGTTGCTATAGGGATAAGAATCAAATCAAAATGTTCTCAACAGAAAACAATATGAACCCAGGCACTGTACCTGAAGAACTCCAAGATTTAACTGTCATAGAGCAGCAACTTATTAGTAGGATAGCTCCATGTATAAATGTCCATATGTTAAGTCATGGGGGTATTGCTTCATCTGGTCATTGCGTCACATTTCCTCAAGAAATAAATGAACCAGCCAGAATTTTTCCTAGATTACCACATGAAATTCAAATTATTAAAGTTAGAAAACAGGGGAAAAATGAAACATCTAAGGACTTCAGAGTCCGTCGTTTAAAAATCGAACAATCTTTAAGATGGTTAAAAAAAAACAATCCAGCCTATTCCGATATCATAATAAGTACAAACAGGTTACAAGCAATTCCTGAAGATGGACAATTAACAGACATAATGACATTACAATTCAAAGAAAATACTGCTCATATTCATGACAAAGGACCATCATCTGAACAAATAGATATAGGTGTAACTGAGGGTTTTACAAATTCTGGTGCCCAACTACCAGACGCTAATGTAAATATTCAACAGAAGGTCCAGAAAATAATTGAAGAAATTTTAGGTGAAAATCATGGGGACGTTACTGTTAATAGACAGGGCACTGTTACTATTCCTTGGCCTTCAAAAGGCGACACTCCCGTATCTGAATTTACGACGAAACATTTTTTTACCCTTGCTTTCCCTGCACTCTTTCCCTATGGGTCCGGAGATTATTACATTAATAGACCAATCACTGTATCATGTATGGGGCAATGGGCTGACCATTTATTATGGTATGCAGACGGCAGGTTTGCAAAACACCCCTATTTTAAATTTGTTGTTCACAACATGATTATGCGAAAAAGAGCTTTAGAACAAAGTAGTTTTATAATTAAACAGAAACTTGGTGACCAACAATTTACAATTACAGAGTTGAAAAAACTTATTGAAAATGGTGATACATCAGTTTCAAAAAAAATTCTCTACTTTGGGGGAAATTTAAGGGGGACTTCTCAGTATTGGGAGCAGAGGGGCAAGGAATTAAGAGCTTTGGTTCAATATAAAATAAATGAAGGTGCAGGTCTGCCATCATTTTTTACTACTGGCAGTTGTGCAGAATTTCACTTTAAACCACTCAGACGACTGCTTTCAAAGTATGTTTCTGAAACTACTGGAAACTCTATTGATCTAACTGATAGAAATATCCTTTTTAAAACTCTTCAGGAAAATACACACATTGTTGCACAATACTTTGATCTAAGAACACAGTCATATTTCAAAAATGTAATGGGTCCTGTTTTTGGTGTTGACTCCTACTGGTACAGGCAAGAGTTTGCCAAATCCAGAGGTATGGTCCACTGGCATGGTCTTTGTTGGAGGTCAGATAGAGAGCCTCATGATTTGTTACACAATGCAATTTCTGCTGGTCTTTCTGAGGAACAATGTGCAGAAAAACTCTCTCATTGGGCTTCAGAAATCTTTGGACTTACTGCTTCTCATCCTGCTGGTAAGGATGAAGATGGCAATCCAAACAGAAACTTGTGGCCTCCTCCAGAGGGTACTGCTCCTCCTCCTCCCGAAGAAAAAAATCCCCTGTTGAAACTTCTCCTGGATGTTAGCACCTCCCAAGAAACACTTTTGGAAGATCACTTGCTTTTATCAAATCGTTTCAATCTGCACCGTTGCTCAGATTACTGCCTGCAACCTTCTCGATATAATAATTCTGAAAAAACTTGCAGAATGGAATTTCCTAAGCAATTACGTGCATCACCTGCTTTAGTGAAAGACCGAAATGGATCTTTGCGTCTAGAAATGAATAGAGACCACCCTGTTCTTGTTCAACATTCTCGTTTCCATACGCAAGGCTGGAGGGCAAACGGTGATATTTCTCTTATTCTGTCAAAAAGTGATCCTTCCAATCCCTCTGTAGATGAAATTATTGCGACCGAAAAATACATATCAGGTTATGCATGCAAGGGAAATGAACCCACTGGTGCTCTTTCAGATCTCTTCTCTGATATGGTCAATTGTGCAGATGAATCTTCAGGGGCAACTGCAAAATCACTCTGTACAAAGCTTTTAATGGACACAGTTAAAAGGGACATTTCTTCAGTTGAAGCATCTTATGAACTTTCTTCCATTCCTCTTTATCGCTCTAGTCATTGTTTTCAATCAGTTAGCTTATCAGGATGTAGAGTACTTGAACAATCTGGAAATACTACAATTACGAAATCCACAATTGTTGATAAATATATTTCCAGAGATGAAAACGATAATTCTTCATTATATCAATTCATTTGCAAAAGTGGTAAAGTCCCCGTCATTTCTGGTCCCACTCAGGCACACTGGCCATTAGATGAAAATTACTGTAAAACTTCATTATTGCTTCACTGGCCAAACTGGCGTACACTTTCAGATATTAAAGATGAAAATATATCTTGGACAGAACAATTTTCTCTGTTTTTACAATTAGATACTTGTCCAAATTTTATTAAAGCAGACATTGAGAGGGCAAAGACTAAAAAACAAGATGATTCCTTACCCAAAGACAATATTGAAAACAATGAAGTGGAACAGCCTGATTGGATGGAAGTCATACGCCCCAATCCCGATTTTAGTGAAGTTTGCACTGATTTTAATTTTGAAGATGGTGGCCCCGAACATGACTGGAGCAAAACATCATTTGATTATCCAAATGACTTCGGTGAAGACTGGTGGAATACTGTGACCAAAGCTGCCAACATAGATGACAAGTCCTTAAACATTCCAAATGTAGATCTCCTTAAATTGAATCAAGAACAAATGTTAGCATTTAATATTGTTATGAAAACACTCCTGAATTTTTCAAACAAATCACATGAGTACAAGCCCCTTCGCATGATTGTGTCAGGTACAGCTGGATCAGGAAAATCTTTTCTTATCAAATGTTTAGTTAAAGCCATTCGCCTCTTTTTTAACTCAAATAAATCTGTTCAGGTTCTTTGTCCAACAGGCAATAGTGCAAACTTAATATCTGGAGTAACACTGCACAGTTTCCTTAAAATACCCACCCAGTTCAAAGGAAGAGAAATGAAAGCACCAGAGGGTTCTATAGGGGAAAGCCTCCAGGAGAATTTATCTGACCTCCACGTCCTTCTTATTGATGAAAGGTCATTAATTGGTTCTAATACCTTAGGGTGGATGGAGTTTCACTGTAGATGTGGCACTGGCATTTCAGATCAGACATGGGGAGGAATCCCAGTAGTTGTATTTTTAGGGGATGATGTGCAACTTCCACCAGTTTTGGATGCCCCAGTTTATCACTCTAAAAGTAAAAATTCAGCCTCAATGCACGGTGTTCTGGTGTGGCAAGAATTTCAGACAGCTGTTACTTTAAAATCAATCATACGCCAAGGAGAACAAGAACATGAATTGAAGGAGGTCCTTTCAGCTCTTCGTCAATACAAAGTTACTCCAAGTCAGGCCAAATGGTTGCAACAATTTCAGTGGAGCAATCTGCAAAAGACACATGGGAATGAATTATTAAGTAGAATGTCAGACAGGGGTCTTTTTGTTTTTCCTACTCATAGCGAGGAATGGGGTCACAATAAGTCAAAGTTATTGGAGATGAATCAACTTTTTCCTGTTGCAAAAATTATTGCAGTTTCTAAGGGTTCTCACTCCAAAACTGGTGAAAGTGAAAAAGCTGGTGGTCTTCTCCACACTCTTTACTTATGTAAGGAATCAAAAGTTATGCTTTCTGTGAATTTGTGTGTGAAATTTGGTCTTTTTAATGGTGCTATTGGCATTGTTAAAGATATTTTGTATTTTAATGGAAGAAGACCACCTGCCCTCCCTGATGTTGTAATGGTGGATGTACCTAATTACACTGGTCCCCCTTTCCTATCTTCTTATCCAAAAATTGTTCCAATATTCCCAGTGGAGAGAAATATAGATTGTAGATGTCACTTTTGCAAAAGAAAACAAATCCCACTGCGTTTAGGATGGGCAACAACCGTTCATCGTTGTCAAGGAATGACCATAGGAAAGGGGGAAGTGAATAGATATATAGTTGTAAATCCTGGCACACGATCATTTGAATCCAGAAATCCAGGTGCCCTTTTTGTCGCCCTTTCTAGGGCAAAGTCAACTGGAAAAGATGACACAGATCCTGACTTTGCCTGGCACCCTTCCATTCTCCTCAATGAAGACAGGGTCTGTCATAGAGTCAATACGCCAACAACTACTGCAAGAGAACATGAAATAAAGAGAATAGAATTATTAGATGAACAAACTACCAAAGCCTTCCAGCATTTAAAAGATGATCCAGCTATCATTGCTTTATTTCAGAAATCAACATTACCTAGTGTCTCTGAGGAGTAATTTCCTTTTCTACATATATTGACATCATGAATGCGATTTTTAATACAGTGTCAATTTCCTGATTTATTTCATACTGTGAATAATTGTGAACGGTGGGAGACATGCCAGTCTCTAACTGAACACTTTTATCTACCATAGATTTCTGTAGGTATATATATATATATACCAAAACTTACTGGTTCAACTCTGTTGCTGTTCTGGTTAAATTTTAATCAGCATTGTTCTTCTGTGTTTTCTGAGGACGATGACCAACCCTGAAATTAAAAATGCCAGTGTCACATCTTTTACTTCCATTTTTCCCTATGTTGACCTTGCCGAAAGTACAATTCAAATAGTACTCCGTTTCTCAGTAAATTTTCTGAATTTGAATGAAATACGACTGTTTTACTTTGGGCTCTCTATGACACTCTGTTCCCTTCTGCACACTGTCAGCCTTTTTTACAAATAGAATGACCATTTCATCTTATTCTCATACCATGCAATTCATCATTTCCTTGATTTTTTATTTTAAAGTGTTTTTCATTATAGTGAACGGTGGGAGACATGTCAGTCTCTAACCGAACATTTTTTATTTTTTTTTTACCTCACCAAGATTTCTGTCGGAACATATACATGTATCCCAAAACTTACCGGTTCAACTCTGTTGCTGTTCTGGTTAAATTTTAATCAGCATTGTTCTTCTGTGTTTTCTGAGGACGATGACCATCCCTGAAATTATAAATGCCAGTGTCACATCTTTTACTTCCATTTTTCCCTATGTTGACCTTGCCGAAAGTACAATCCAAATAGTACTGAGTTTCTCAGTAAATTTTCTGAATTTAAATGAAACATGACTGTTTTACTTTGGGCTCTCTATGATACTCTGTTTCCTTCAGCACACTGCCAGCCTTTTTTACAAACAGAATAACCAGTTCACCTTTTTCTCATATCATGCAATTCATCATTTCCTTGAGTTTTTATTTTAAAGTGTTTTTCATTATAGTGAACGGTGGGAGACATGTCAGTCTCTAACCGAACATTTTTTTATTTATTTATTTATTTTTTTTTTTTTTTTTTACACCTTACCAATATTTCTGTAGCAACATACGAAAACTTACTGGTTCAACTCCATCGCTTGTTCTGGTTAAATTTTAATCCGCAGTGTTCTTCTGTGTTTTCTGAGGACGTTGGCCATCCCTGAAATTATAAATGCCAGTGTCACATCTTTTACTTCCATTTTCACCCATGTTGACCTTGCCGAATGTACAATTCTAATAGTACTCAGTTTCTCAGTAAATTTTCTGAATTTAAATGAAATATGACTGTCTTATTTTGGCTCTCTCTATGGCACCCTGTATCCTTCTGCACACTGCCAGCCTTTTTTACAAATAGAACAACCATTTCACCTTTTTCTAATATCACACAATTCATCATTTCCTTGAGTTTTTATTTTAAAGTGTTTTTCATTATAGTGAACAGTGGGATATATATATATATATATATATATATATATATATATATATATATATATATATATATATATATATATATACCAAAACTTACTGGTTCAACTCTGTTGCTGTTCTGGTTAAATTTTAATCAGCATTGTTCTTCTGTGTTTTCTGAGGACGATGACCATCCCTGAAATTATAAATGCCAGTGTCACATCTTTTACTTCCATTTTTCCCCATGTTGACCTTGCCGAAAGTACAATTCAAATAGTACTCAGTTTCTCAATAAATTTTCTGAATATAAATGAAATACGACTGTTTTACTTTGGGCTCTCTATGACACTCTGTTTCCTTCAGCACACTGCCAGCCTTTTTTACAAATAGAATGACCATTTCACCTTTTTCTCATATCATGCAATTCATCATTTCCTTGAGTTTTTATTTTAAAGTGTTTTTCATTATAGTGAACGGTGGGAGACATGTCAGTCTCTAACCGAACACTTTAAATTTTTTTTTTTTTTTTTTTTTTTTAGACCTCACCAAAATTTCTGTAGGAACATACCAAAACTTACTGGTTCAACTCTGTTGCTTGTTTTGGTTAAATTTTAATCAGCATTGTTCTTCTGTGTTTTCTGAGGATGTTGGCCATCCCTGAAATTAAAAATGCCAGTGTCACATCTTTTACTTCCATTTTCACCCATGTTGACCTTGCCGAATGTACAATTCAAATAGTACCCAGTTTCTCAAAACATTTTCTGAATATAATGATATATGACTGTATTGTTTTTGGCTCTCTCTGACCCTATTTTTCCTACTGCACATATAATTCACCATTCCATCAAGTTTTTATTTTAAAACACGTTTATCCTTCTAGTGAACAGTGGGAGACATGGTGAACGGTGGGAGACACGTCAGTCTCTAACCGAACACTTTTTTCTACCGGAGATTTCTGAATGCATGAATAGAGATATTTCATACTACAATTTGTATATATATTCTATTACTTAATAATTACCACGTTGTTCTATTCATTCTGAAATCTTCACTTGTGCAGCAGTTCTATTCTAAAATTAAAGTATTATCAGTGTTTTCATAACTTTCAGTCCCCCTTTTTTGTTACTCCTGTGGAAACTGTCACATACATATAGTATCTCTCATTGTTAGTTGAGAGAGAGATTATTTGGGGAGGGTTTTCTATGAAGCTAATTTTTTCCCTCCTTAGTTTGGAGGAAAAAAAAATCTTTTAAAACATGCCTTATGCAGTAAAACCTACCTGAGGCTTCATCAACTGTATAAAATGTGAACATTTGATAGAAATTTTATCTGATTATCCTCCCCTCCCACCAAATAAATATGTTTTTTTAATTAGCTTTATTTTTTGTGAAAGTTACCTTTTTCCGCACAGCTCACTTCATCACCCTTTTCTGGCTCTCTTCTAGTCCCTGGAATTAAAAACCAACAATAAGTATTTCTAGACTCATTGCAACCTATTTTTCAAAATCGATATGTTTACCAGATATTTTAATTATTATTTTTCATGATTTTGAATGGTTATATCTTTCAAGCTAATTTGAAATGTTTTAAGAAAAACATAATCTTTGTAATTTTTCAAAATTACCTTTTTTTATTACTTTAGAGAATGCATATATTAATTGCTTCTGACTCAAGAGGGAGAGGATTCCACTCGTATATCCAGAGAGTTCACCCATTTCCACCTGACTGGCTCGTTTCTTTTATTTTTAAACCTGGGGCTTCTGTTGAAAGGCTTAGCCGTGAGGCTAAACACTTTATTCAAACTGAAAATTCCAAATCTTATCATGTTGTTTTCATGGGAGGTATCTGCAATCTAACGGAAAAAATTACACACCAATCTGGCACCGAAATTATCTACAACCATTCACTCAGCAAAATTCAGTCCTTGATTCACAGTATTGAAAACACCTTTAAAGAAATTCCACCATTAACTGCCAACTGTTCTACCATCCAATATACCACTATTCCTCCTGTGTCTCTCAGAAATTTTCAAAATTATCAAATTGAAAAAAGAAAGTTCCATCACAGTCAAGTTCCCTCAGAGGAATTAATTACCCAACAGGAAACCTTGGAAGAAGACATCAAAATGATAAACTCTAACATCTGTGAAATTAGCATATATAACAACAGTTCACCAATACGACTTGATAAAGATATAACAAAGAATTCACTTAAGAAAAGGGGACGAAATGGAAAAAACAAAAAAAAAATTTCAAAATTTACGTACCAAAATTTTTATGACGGGGTCCATCCAGATAATTCACTTTCCGATATATGGTTTTCCAAAATATGTACTTCAATTTTGGCCTTTCTCACAGCTTCATCCAGTTCAATAGTCAATGATCCAGATATTTCTGAGGACGAGGAGGAAAATGACACCTGGGATTTTAAAAGAAACTAAAAGTTCACATATGCATACCTAAAATGTTCATTTATAAGAACTGTAAATTTCTCAAGTCATTCATCAAACTTAAAAAATTTTTGTTTACGTTCAGTGACAGCTTTAAATTACAATGTTGATGATTATGAATGGTGGGAGACATGCCAGTCTCTAACTGTCAAATCATTCAACTTTTACTTTTAAACATCATTAATTAATATACAATCCTAGGCTTTTCTTGCTTTAAATATTGCAGTATATTTTTAATGTTTACTATTTATCAATGTGAAAAATCAGCTACTCTACACTTAATGTCACTTATAATACTTCATGGAGTGTACTCCTGTTTGGGATATAACCACAGCATGTATGGTAAGTATATTTTTATGATCAATTTATTCATTGATATGTTGTTCCTCTGTAACTTTGATTTTTTTTTTATTGTGACGCCATCTTGGTTCGATGTTTACCAATTTAGAGTGACATGAAAATTTGAGTAATACTCCTCTGTAATGTATAAAAGTAGGTAAATAAAAAATTATTGGATTTAGAATCAAGATGAAACTGAGTCCTGTAATTTAAAATGCAACCCATAATTCTTGAAATTTATGCACTTACCGTCTTGTTATTACCGGCAAATTAAAACCCTTTAGGGTTAGACTAGCTGGGCAGCTTGGCCGCGTGGTTTGTTGATATCCCGCGTCTGAATCACGTGACATCGCATTGCCTAATAAGTCGTTCCAAGAAACACTCGCACGATTGGCAAAATCATCGAATAAATAGGCAAATATTTTTTAAATTTAAATGTAATTTTCAATTCATATTTTTCTTTTTCAAACAAGCAGTTTGTTTCTCTTGTATTTTAAGAGAACTCCTTTGTGATTCTTTTTTTTAAAGAAATAAATCCTAGAGTTATCTTTCCTTTTCCTGCAACTACTCTGGTTAGAGATTGATGACACCCTCCCCCTTTTTTTAAAAAATGTTAAAAACACACCGTAAAACATATTATCTTGAATTTTAAAAAGATCATCTTAATTGGCTTATTAAAAATATTGTTATATGTAACCATATATGCTTTTATTTTTAAATTATGCAACTATATTGTGTTTATTTGGCAAATGTTTCAATTATTATTCAAAATAACTTGCATTTTTTAATTTCTAACTTGCCCAAGTAATATAATAATATAAAAAAGGTAAATGCTTTTTTAAGGTTATCTCTGGGATTCGGGGTTTTCCAGTTTTGATGTACAGCTTCTTTCTAAAGTAAATCGTACTTTTTCGATTTCTAGCGTAGAACAAAAAAAAAAAATATAGTTGTAGAAATGTTTGCAAATTATGGCGTGTGTTTAGAAATCTTAATGGTTGCACCCCTTAATTACATGTATTTGGTCTGATAAGTTTTTTTTACTCCGTGTCCCACTCTCACCAAAGAGTTTGGTTCGGCCATTGTGATTTTTTTTCCAGAAAAATAATGCATGTAGTGGCAAAAGTTACAAAGTTCATGTTTGTTTTGTCTAGGGATTTTTAAATACATGTCTTATTTTTTCTTAACAGTGTTGAGTGACACTCAGATGGAATCTACAGCAACATTAGACTACAGTCTGTGATGATATCCGATTCTATGAGACCTGAGTCTGTTTGTTAAAATGGTGGCCAACGACCATATCATAAGGTTTTATATTCAATATTGTGCCTCACTACTTGTATTTGATTATTGAGTGATGATTACATGAATACATAAAATTAAAAATATGCGAAAGAAGCATTTTAAGTAATATTAAGAGCGTATAACATTAATTATTATGTTGGGACAAGACGATGAATTGTAATTATTTGGTGAAACAATACCGAAAATTATATACAAATATGCTTAAACAATGTTGTGTAACTAACTCCGATTCTATTTTCAGGCGAAGTACTGAGAACTGCACAGACTAAATGGATTACTTTAGGAATCAAGAAGACAACATTTTGACAATGCATAAAAGATTCTACGCAAATAATTTTTATCAAACTGTCCTTGAAAATACATCGTTTTTATTTAAATTTAATTTTCTGCAAATTCTTCTCCATAATTAAAATAAACGTTAAAATTGATCATTCATCGGCATTACTTGATTTATAGAAGTCTGCTATAAAAAACCATTTTTGACAAATACAATATGTACATGTGTAACTATATTTTTTACAAGGAAGATTTTATTTGCATTAGCTGTATGAATTAATGGTGTTTCAATGCCTGCAGTCCCTATACATGTATATACGGTGGAATGTACAACGCCTGCATTGCATCAGTCTTTTGAGTCTATCATTGACTGCATTAGAACTTATGTGCATGCAGTCGGCCAATGCCTGCATTGACAGACTGATGCGCCGTCGGCCAATGCCTGCATTGACAGACTAATGTGCAGTCGGCCAATGCCTGCATTGATTGACTGAGGAGCAGTCGGCCAATGCCTGCATTGATTGACTAATGTACAGTCGGTCAATGCCTGCATTGACTGACTGCGCAGTCGGCCAATGCCTGCATTGACAGACTGATGTGCAGTCGGCCAATGCCTGCATTGACTGACTTCGCAGTCGGCCAATGCCTGCATTGATTGATTGAGGAGCAGTCAGCCAATGCCAGCATTGACTGACTGATGTACAGTCGGCCAATGCCTGCATTGACTGACTGCGCAGTCGGCCAATGCCTGCATTGACTGACTGATGTGAAGTAGGCCAATGCCTGCATTGAGAGACTAATGTGCAGTCGGCCAATGCCTGCATTGACTGACTGCTCAGTCGGCCAATGCCTGCATTGACTGACTGATGTGCAATCGGCCAATGCCTGCATTGGCTGACTCTCTCAAGGTCCAATGCAGGCATTGGCCGACTCTCTAGAGAGCCAATGCAGACATTGATGGACTCTCTTGAGAGCGTGAGAGAGTCAGCCAATGCCTGCATTGGCCCTTGAGAGCCTTGAAATGCCCGAGTGACCATAAATAGAAAGAGAGAGGGAAAAGGATAAAGAAAGAGCGATTCACATTGCCTGCATTGGCCCTTTTTATAGTTGTGCAACCTGCATTGACCCTTTTGATAGTCGTGCAACCTGCATTGGCCAATAACAAACACATTGCCGTAAGAAATTGGGATGAGGTTCTGGCATTGACTTAAGAATAATAGCCACCACTGCATTGCAAGTTTATTCACTTTCCTAGGTTTTAAATACATTTTCTATTCCTTTAACGCCAAATTGCATTAGTTAATTACATTTAGAACAAATTCGATTGCATATGTGATTAAAATAAAACACAAATCTGAATATGCTAAAATTTGCAAGAAATTGAATGGACATCATGTCATTGTTCCCGTTGTTACTTGTATCATATGAATTTGGAAATAAGTGAATAAAACCATACCATTTGTTTCGGACTAATTTTGTAATCATAAACAACTTCTTTTATAAATCTATTAAATTATATTTACTTTGGTAATAAAAGTCAAATTGTCTTTCCAAATTGCCCATAACATCGAACTTAAATTAAAAAAAAAATAAATTAGACAGATAAAAATTAGTTGAGACCCCATTATTTTCATGCTGGCGACCCGGGTTCAATCCCCTTTGTTTCCATAAAAAGTTTAAATCACTTTTTCGGATCGATTTTGCGGAGTTTATTTTCAGAATCGGACGGAAGATTTCTCGTTGCTCGCAACGAGTTTCTTTTCTAGTTCTTATTATTATTATTATTCTTTTTTCATAGTACAGCCGATATCTCAGCTATGCGTGGACAGATTTCAAAGATTTTCCCATGGAAGATGCATCATGAGTTTATCTCCAGACGTGTTTTTCATTTTTTCGAAAATCACTTTCTTTCGCAATTTTTGGGGATTTTTGTATTTTTTAAAAGGCATTTTGTCCAGCAGTTTTCTTGAGAACGGCTAAAGATATCAAAATGAAACTCACTGAGGTGATAGAACATCGAACTCCGTTATGGGCAACGACCTTTATTTTTCGTCGTCGGCACTTCCGGTCGCAAACGGAAGTGAATTCAAAAAGTCACATTTTCCAACTTTTTTGTTTTTCAATATATTTCTTTAGGATTTACAGGGATTATAGTGTGTCTTATGAGAATTCTAAATATGTGTTCAGTATCTTGATGCGTGCATATATTGATATGATATGACCGAACCAAACTTTGTCCCACTGTCGGGGGTTCGAATCCAGCTGGGGGCGTTGCAAAAATTTTTTCTTTGTTTTTGTCTTTTTTCATTTCCAAATTACTTTTCTCTCTTTTATTACATGTATGTAAGATTTTGCCGAATTTTAAAAGCTATTTTTCGAGATATTTTGTGAAATTATTGTAATAATCATGATCTGTGTTGAGAGACTACTGTAAATGAACGTAAACGAAAAGAATTCATTCTGAAATCTATTTCTTGGGATGACACAGCATAGAACTCTAAAGAAAAGTGGGTCGGAAGACCTGCCTGTTGCTCTAGCAACAAGAACGTATCTAGTTATTATTATTATTCTTTCTTCATAGTACAGCTGATATCTCAGCAATGCGTGGACAGATTTCAAAGATTTTTACAGGGCTAATGCAATTTGTGAATATCTCCAAAAGTTTTTTTCATTTTTTCAAAATTCACTTTCGTTCGCGATTTTGGGGGATTTTTGTATTTCTAAAATAGCATTTTGTCCAGAAGATTTCTCGAGAACGGCTTAAGATATGAAAATGAAACTCACTGAGGTTATAGAACATCGAACTCCGTTATAGTGAACGACCTTTATTTTTCGTCGTCGGCACTTCCGGTCGCAAACGGAAGTGAATTCAAAAAGTCCAATTTCTCAACTTTTTTGTTTTTCAATATTTTTCTTTAGGATTTTCAGGGATTATAGAGTGTCGTATGAGAATTCTAAATATATGTTCAGTATTTTGATGCGTGCATATCTTGAAAAGGTATGACCGAACTAAACTTTGTCCCAGTGCCGGGGGTTCGAATCCCGCCGGAGGCGTTTCAAAAAATTTTTCTTTGTTTATGTCTTTTTTCAGTTGCAAATGACTTTTATCTCTCCTATATAACACGCATGGAATATTTTACCGATTTTAAAAGCTATTTTCTGAGATATTTTGAGGAATGCCTGTAATTATCATGATGTCTGTTGAGACACTTCTATGAATTAATGTCAACAAAAAAATACATTCTGAAATCTATTTCATGGGATGACTCAGCATAGAACTCCAACGAAAAGTCGGTCGGAAGACCGCTTGTTGCTCTAGCAACAAGAACGCATCTAGTAAAGGTCTTCCGTCTTCATGGAAGACCTTATAGTTATTCTACTGTTTCTTATTATTTTTCTTATTTTTTTCCCAAAATTCTGTGCACGCGATTTCTCAGCAACCATTCAATGGATTTCAATGAAATTTTCAGAAATTATGCGCATCAATATGAACTTGATACATCTGGGAGGAAATTTGATAATTCGCTTTTGGTGCCAAGTTATGGCCAGTTTCCTTATTTTAAAATGCGATTTTGTCGCGCACTTTTATCGAAAATGGCTAAGAATATGAACTGGAGACTTATCTAAGAGCATAGGGCATGGTTATTAGATGTGCGTAAGCCCAATTTCCTGCGTTGTCGGTGCTTCCGGTCGCTACCGGAAGCGAATTTAAAAAGTGCATTTTTTCATTTTTTTTTGTTTTCAAAGGTTTTTTCTACGATTTTAATTATCTTAAAAGTGACTCTTATGCGAATGAGAAATATGAAATTTGTTTAAGAATTGAAAAGGACAATCTCGAGATATTTGCATTTAAATATTTGAAGCGATGTTTTCAATGGCTGAATACGTAGCGCGTTGGATTGTCACGCGGGCGACCCAGTTTCGCTCCCCCGAATATCCGAATTTTTTTTTTTTTTATCATTTTTTCATCTCGATTTTTGGTGTTTTTAATTCAGAATCGGACGGAAGACCTCTCGTTGCTCGCAACGAGTTTCATCTAGTTATTATTATTATTATTATTATTCTTTTTTCTTCTTATTTCTTCTCCGGTACTTTTTTGTCCGCGAGTGTTCTCAGAAACTGTTCACCCAACTAAGCTAAAACCTTTTTTAGGGTTAATATGTGTGAAGTGTAGGTGTGCGAAACGAAGGTGCGTGCGCGTGAAATGAGTGAATTGACTGATATAATTAATATAGCTATAACTTTTACATTTTTTGATGAAATGATTTGAAACTCATTATATAAAGATATATTAATACTGTAGATAATGTGACACTGTCAAATTAGCATGAACTCACGCGCATGCACGTGCGCTTCACTCTGATTGGTTGAAACAAAAATCTCAATATCTTTGCTGTTTTTTGAAAAAATGCTATGAAATTTAAAACATAGGCATACTTCAGGATGTACTACAATATGACATATAACAATTGTCATGTAAACACGCGCATGCACGTGCGCTGCAATCTGATTGGCTAAAATTTAAATGGCTATAACTCCCTTGTTTTTCAACCAAACAGAATGTGATTTGCAACATAGATAGATATAATGGACTTCTACAAGAATGTATAGTCACCATGCACATTCATACGCGTGCGTGTATGTGCGTTGCAATCTGATTGGCTGAAACTTTAAATAGCTATAACTCCCTTAGTTTTCAACCAAACAGGATGAGAGTTGGAACATAGATAGATGTAATGGACTTCTACAAGAAGGTATGATCACCATGCACATCCATACACGTGCGTGAATGTACGCTGCAATCTGACTGGCTGAAACTTTAATCAGCTATAACTCCCTTGGTTTTCAACCAAACTGAGTGGGATTTAGAATATAGATAGATGTAATGGACTTCCACAAGTAGGTATGTCACCATGTTCATGTATGCACGTGCGTGCACAACTACAACCAGTGATCGTCCTTTGAGGAAAGTTTCAGGAAGATTGTCCCAGCCATCTCCGAGAAACAGCCTGGATAAAAAAAACATGCGTACAATATCAATATGTCGTCCCCGACTTCGTTCGGGGCGACATAATAATAATAACTAGTGCTAATTGTAACGGGGACCGTTACATATGTTCCCCAAACGCTCCCCAACTCCCTTTTGGTGCCATATTCCCT